GCATGCTACACGTTTGGCCCATGTGTTACAGTTTGCCTTGAGTTCATCATATTGACAGTAGCTAGTTACAGTTTGCCATAGCTACAGTTTGCCATAGCTGCAGTCGCCATAGCTACAGTTTGCCATTGCTACAGTTTGCCATAGTTACAGTTTTCCATAGCTACAGTTTCCCTTAATTAATTAAGGGATTAATTAATTAAAACTTAATTGATTAATTAATTAATGAAATAATTAGCTACAGTTTGCCCATAGCTATAGTTTGCCATAGCCTTCAGATTGTCGGCCTGGTCGTTGTGTGGTTTTGTTCAGTCGGCTGCACCCGCTGTATTTCTGGCGGTCTGGATCGCGTGCATAGGATGTCGATTCTGCCTCATATATCCTACATCGCTGGCTACGAGCCGGACAAGGTTGTCTCGAGTGAGTAGTCACGTAGACATGCGTCCTCGTGCCCGATTATTTATTATAATAATAATAATAATAAATAATAATAATATAATAATAGTACTAATAATAATTACAACAACAATAATAATTATTATGATAATAATGATAATAAGCGAAAAACGGCCAACCCAGAAACTACCGGCTAATGCCGTGATCCACTTTGGAAACAACAACAACAATAATAATAACAATCATGAATCAGCATAACATAAATAATTAATAATAATAATATATATCCGTGATTTTTCATAATAATAATACACAAACAATGAGAAAGACGACAACACACCAAGGAAAAAGCCAATAACGCATGATTGATAGCGAACGGCATGTATCAACTCTAGTTCGGGTAGCGCTAAACAAAATGATAGGGCGACATTCGTGATAAAAACGCCTCCAAGCAAACGATTTTCCACTTACGATTAATTAGCTTTCAAATTTAGTAGAGCCACTTCACAAGAATAGAGGAGGTGGCGCATTGCTTGGATTCTAGATGGCCACTATGTAAAAACCTATAAATGCCAATATCCTCGGCTTACTAGCCACTATAAATTAGTTTAGGTGGCGATTATCTTGGCTGTTCTAAGCATACATTTTCTGGGGCAAGCGAATGCAATTATTACCATTTTGAAGTATCAATAAAATGATTTTATTTATTTACAAGTCATGTTGTTTACAAGAAGCAGAGCGACATCAGGTATAGTAGGATATTTACTGAGTTTAGCGCAAAACATAATCAGTTCACTGACTCTGATTCTTCGCTTTTGCTTCCCATCGCAGCCGGACGATGTCGTCGCCAGGATGTCAGGTCAGGCGACTTCCATCCCCTGGATCCAGATCGGACTGCTTCGACGAAGAACTGCTGAGTGAGCGGATCTACGGTGACCGCACAACGGCGGCTCGACAGCCGCTGACGATCGACATGAAGTTACGGCTACGACCGAAAGCTGGCCGAGCCGCTCTAATCGCGTACAATTACTATCACACGCCACGCACCACGCCACGCGACGCACGCACGCACACACACACGCACCAAACCACACCTAGGACACTCGACATCCGCTACGCACACACACCTAGGCACACCGCACACTACGCACGCAACATTCACCTATCGCACACTCGACACACGGTGCCACACACACCACCACAACAGCACACAACACGACACAACACACACACCACCACACCTACGCACTCGCACACGCGACGCACACATCACCCTAGGCACCTCGGCACACGCACGCAAACGGCAAGCCTACTCATCGCACACACACACACACACACACACACACACACACACACAACAATGCCACACACACCTACGCACTCGCACACGGCACGCACACATACACTAGGCCACTCTGCACATGCACGGCAAACACACCTATGACACTCTCTCCACACCACACACAACGCGCACACACACACATCACACACACACACACACAACACACACACACCTACGCACTCACCACGCACGCACGCGCAGATGCATGTAGACTTATGGCTACAAATTACCGATTTGGGACATTTGCGTCAGTCTTTAGCTGTACTCTCAAATGCTGGTCAGTCCCAGCTAAGACTGTATAACTGCTCGGTCAATCTCAGCTTCATTACTCTAACTGCGGTCAGTCACTCACCTTAACTCTACTGACTTGGTCAGCCACTAGCTTTAACTCTAACTGTTGGCAGTGTACAGCCTTAACTCTAACTGCTGGTCAGTTCCTCAGCTTAACTATAACTGCTGGTCAGATCTGCGAGCCCGAACTGCTGCCTCATTGAAGCTTAATTACGCGTCATCGTTTTTTGTCCGCGGTAGCACGGCCGCAGCGACGTGATCTTCGTCGGCACAGTGTCTATCTTACGCTGCCACAGAAGGACGCCAGCCGCTATTGTGCGTATCGATGCAGTACGACTTCTCCCGGCCCAGACAAAACCCGTCGTGACGTCAGCGCCATCGGATTATGCGAGGCGGAGCCGGTGAACCGTAACCGGACTGCACGTGCTGCATTCAAGCGCAGGATCGATTACGAGTAAGGTGTTCAGGGTGCAGAGTTTAACGACGAGTCCAGAGTCAAATACTCCCCTAAGATTTACGTGTGACTCCCTGAAAATTCTGCTATTGATAATTCTCACAGACACGCACGAAATGCTCTTCCTCTTAACCACAGGTCGAAGAATACCAACATTCGAAGCAGCGGTTTAGACAGCTTAGTTAGATCTACTGCAAAAACCATACATTCAAATATAAGACACACAATCACGAATACATCATTATAAAGACAATCTCATGTTGTAGTACTTTTCCCTCACATGCTGCCCTGCCCTATCGCTAAGAACAGGCACACACTAAAATACTTCCCCTGCCCCCGCTGGTATAAAACGATATACAAGCAATCTTAACCTCAGGGTAACGGCAACAACCTTATATAAAAGAATTAATCAGCACTGCCTTACAAATAGGGATTCTATAAAAACATCATCATTATAATAACAAAGCACAGAAACTCCCGCGCTGAAATCCACGATGGCCATCACAAGAAGTCCAAAATTACCCATTACAACAATCCCCGAATTACTCAGTATTGCACAGTCATCTTACAAGACTAACGTCACTTTGCTATATACACTCTACTCTATCAAGGATCCATATGTCCTCTAGCTCTTGCTAAGACAAAATATTCTTGTGAAAATACAAGGCCAACTTCGCAAGAGAGCTTCTTCTGTCTTACAACTCAAATGATAAAGGGCCCTGCGACTGCGCGCTGGGCATCTAAACAAAACGAGCAATTAGGCAAATTTAAAGTAGTCGCATGCCGATTAAAGCGTAGATTGGCCGCTACAGCTATACTAACTAAGTTCATTCTGCAGGACAAGGCTCGCGGATTGCCCGGTATTTTTCTCAGCCAAACATTCTTAATTTCTTGAGACACTTCAGACTACGGATTTCCTCATTTTGCTGTGGACTCCCCTCTTTTGCGGGCAGGGGAGTCGTTGACATCCCTTGTCAACACTTAATTTTCTACCAGCGCTCTGCGTGTCTGCCTCTCAAGCACCATGTTTTTGACATACTTGTCATTTGTTTGTGATCGGTGTGTAGGAGTGAAAATGGCGCATACGTGATTATAAAGACGCACGCCACTAACCGGCGCCGATTCTTGAAATAGCAAAAACTGTAGCAATGGCAAACTGTAACTATGTCAAACTGTAACTATGGCAAACTGTAGCAATGGCAAACTGTAGCTATCGGGGACTGTAGCTATAGGGGACTATAGCTATGACAAACTACGTACTATCTAATGTGTAACAAATTACCCCAGGTGATGTCACAACTTGCCCCGACATGGGGGCAATTTGTTACAAATTTTTACGTCCACTTATTACGTAATATCTTGTTCATGTTTACTTGAGTTTCAAAATTTTCACTGTTTTTAATAAAAGGAGATAATTATCTTATCTCATGGAAGACACTACACGTTTTCCTCTATTCGTTTGTTTGATACGGCTGAAAATGGGAAAATTGTAACAACTATACCCGGTCTCCCCTACACAACCTTATCCGTAACCTTAACCCTACTTAACACAACTCATGACAATGAAGCTGCACTAACCAGGATCTGCGAAGACTTC